ATAGCTATTGGACGTCAATACCCGTCATCTTTGCCTCTCTTTTCCAATATATGTAGCTCATTCGGTTAAATTACTACACAGGAAAACCCTTTAGGAAAATATAGTATATATAGCTTAATAATATACAGAAAAATTAATTAATTCCAATTGAATATGAGCACAGTCTGGAAACGAGACATGAACAATCTGAAATTTTTTTCATTTTTTGACAACCTTTTGTATACTTATAATTTATAATCGTACGTGAATTTGACAACTTAAATACAAGGAACGTATAGATTGAAAATGTTGCTTAAAAAGAATGGTTAAATTGTTCAAGTGAATATGCATGTACTGAGGTAATCGAAGCATCTAATTTTTTTCGCATAATTATATCATTAATAAGTTTTTATTAGACTAGTTTCTCATCTAATTTGTAGAAATACCGAGGAACTTGTGCGTTTTTCAAAGACGACAAATTGCACCCGTCAATCACGTTTGAATTGAAAAACTCTCGGTTTTCCTAAATTGCACTCGAAACCATGCATATAGTCCATACATGATATTACCTATACAATTCAAGGTTCCATTCATTAATTCAATACGCCGATATTTTCTTGTTATATACGTTTTCTTGTGCAGCCACCTTTATCTGTGAGTAGTAGGCTATACTTTCAGCTCGACTCTCAAGTGCCGCATTATATTTCTCCAGGTGTACTTATGCATGCAAGTGACCCAAATATTTATTGAGTACTGTAACAAAAATTTTCAGCAAATATGATCATTATATTTGTGATGCTACTCTGAGTGTATATCCACACCGGGCGAGCTTGAAAAATGCCCGGCCACGGTGGGATTCGAACCTACGACCTTTGGAATACTAGCCCAATGCTCTTCCAACTGAGCTACGCGGTTAGGACGGTTCGAGTAAGTGATATTTCGGAACAGAATTTAGTTCCTTCGATAACAATGTATTCTATTAATATGATTTTTTTCTGTGCTGGTGTTGTGTACTCAGGTGAATATGATATTTGTGATTGCTACTCTGAGTGTATATCGACACCGGGCGAGTTTGAAAAAACCGTCCTGACCGCGTAGCTCAGTTGGAAGAGCAAATTAAGTAAATTGAGCGACAACTCTGCGTGCTCGAAATTTGGATAAAACAGCTTCTTAGTAAGTTGGATATCGCCAAAAGTAACGGCTCTCTCAAGGCCAGAATGTAACTAGTTACCGTTACTACTATCAATTGTTGTAATTAGTTACACTTACAGTTACAAGTTACCTTCCTTTTTATCAATTTTTGTATCTGCGAAGCAGATATATTGCCATCGCCAAGATGCCGTACCGTATCCCTAGCCATTCAGCGACAAGCTTATATAATTTAAGCCAATTTAAGCCAATCAGCGATTAGCTTACATCAATTGTTTACATCGTGCCCGCATCTAACCTGCGAACGGGCATAGATTGGCCTCGTGTTATTCTTTCAAGAATCTCTTGAATTTATCAATTTGTCTTGAATTGGTTGTCTTGTTTTCTCGCCATTCTACTTGCGATATTATTCGGAAGTTATCTATCAACATGGAAACTTATCCTCATCTGGTAAGAAGTCAAATACCACATATTGTTATTATATATTTAAGTACCAAATCTGTGCAAATACCACGTATAATTTTGCATATTACACTGTATAAAATATTGTATTTTTTACGCCATTTGTCAACATAGTTCACAAAAAGATTTATACAGTTAAACAATCCTTCTGTGACTTCTGTAATATTTTAAACAGTCAAAGTATAACAGGCAATATTGCCAATGAACAATATCAATGGTCTCAGGAGATATTGAATTAAATCCTGGACCTGTATTTCTGTATATTTAAAACTCTATATAAACTCTGTTCAATACAACAGTCCAACTAAGCTGTGACTGTCATCAAATGTAGTGTTGGAGGTTAAAGATGTTATCAGTTAAATTTATACAGTAAAACAATCCTTCTGTGACTTCTGTAATATTTTAAACAGTCAAAGTATAACAGGCAATATTGCCAATGAACAATATCAAAGGAAACTAATGGTCTCAGGAGATATTGAATTAAATCCTGGTCCTGTATTTCTGTATATTAATTGAACTCTGGAGTTTAAAGATACATTTTGGTTTTACACATTAGAGTTTATAATTAATGCAAGAATGATGAACTTATGTACTGAATTTGGCTGGATAATTCTGTCCGAACAACCCACTTGCAAGAGAACCTTATCTAAATTCATTAGCATGGAAAATAACTTAACAGCTATAATGAATAATCATATGGATGGATCATCAATGGCACACCTACTGACTCTACTCAAACATATTTTCGCCCACAACACAAATTGTTTTTGTGTGGATATGCTGTGTTAAACCGAACAGTGTAGTATATCAATATCACTAACTGTGCACAGGACTGGAATTGCATCATTTCAGTGGTATTCGATATACGATTGCACTTTGCTACAGTAATACATGTTCCTCAAATAGTTTGTGTATGTTATTCAACGGTTAACCATGGCCAATGTAAACAGCAAGTGACAAAACTTTTGCTTCATATGATCACAATAAACAGTTTGCTAAATACCCGGCTGTATAGACACTTTGAATATTGTTTGTATGAAATTTTTATTTCCTGACTGCATAATTATCCACTTTATAAAATGTGTTAAATTTTGTTGCCGGCGGGGGGTGGGTGGGGGTGGTCTGGGGCAGTTGCCCCTAATGCCCGCTGCGCTGTGCACAGCACTGTTAGATGTGTATTATGTTTGACTTTTAAATCTTATTTTCTATCATATATATTATATTAAGTGATGAAATATTTCAATTGTCTCATGCCATCTTCATTATTCAGCTCTTTTCAAGAAAATACAAAATGTTAATCAAGTTTTTTCGCAGATACATGTACGCGTCGCGTACCTATTTTTGTATCTGCGAAGCAGATATATTACTATCGCAAACGTACCGTACCGTACCGTATCCCTAGCCATTCAGCGACGGGCTTATATTATTCAGCCAATTTATGCCAATTTTAAGCCAATCAGCGATCAGTTTACATCAATTGTTTACATTGTGCCCGCATCTAACCTGCGAACGGGCATACTTTAGCCTCGTCAGGCCTCGTGTATAAATCGTGTTATTGTTTCAAAAATATCTTGATATTTTTATCAATTTATCTTGAATTGGCTGTCTTGTTTTCTCTACTTGCGATATTATTCCGAAGTTATTTATCAATATGGAATCTTATCCTCATCTGGTAAGTAGTCAAATACCATATATTATAGATTTAAATACCAAATTTGTGCAAATATACATCCCACATATCTTAATACATGAGTTCGGCAAATTACTATACTATCTATAGTTAATATTGCCGTATCTTCGGCGTAGAGACTGTATACATGAAATGCACTCTGGAATTTTGTTATTAATATATTACACTGCATAAAATATTGGATATTTTCGAGGATATTTTAAGCCATTTGTCAATATAGTTCACAAAAAGATTTATACAGTAAAACAGTCCTTCTGTGGCGTCTCTAATATTTTAAACAGTCAAAACATAGCAGGCAATATTGCCAATGAACAACACCAAAGGAAACTAATGGTCTCGGGAGATATTGAATTAAATCCTGGTCGTGTATTTCTGTATAAACTCTGTTCAAAACAACAGTCCAACTAAGCTGTCATCAAATGTAGTGTTGGAGGTTAAAGATGTTATCAGTTTACAATACTTATACATTTTGGTTTTACACATTTAATAGAGTTTATAATTAAACAAAATTTTTACAAACATTTTCAAATGCCAATAAAAGAATCAACACCCTCCCTCCTTTAATTTTACATTGTTATTTTGCTTTCTAACATAAATGTTTTTGTCTAGAGATTAATGCAAGAGTGATAAATAAATGTACTGGATATTGGCTAGATAATTTTGTCAGAACAACCAATTTGCAAGACAACCTTACCTAAATTCATAAGTATCAATGGTATGGATACTGTAATAACTTAACAGCTACAATAATCATATATTATATGGATGGTCAGATCAATGGCACACAATATGTACAAAACTGAACTTGTGATACCTTCTACTCAAATCGATATTTTCCCACAACACAAATTGTTTTTGTGTGGATGTGTTGTGTTAAACCGAACAGTGTGGTATATCATTAACTGTGCACAGGGTTGGAATTTAATTATATACTTATTCATGACCTTTAAAACATTCTCTACTATTCAGTGGTCTTCGATATATGATGGACTCTTTGCATCAGTATTGGAATTTAATTATATACTTTATTCATGACCTTTAAAACATTCCGTAATATTCACAGTAGTCTTCGATATATGATGGACTCTTTGCATGCTACAGTATTAATGCATGTTCCTCGAATAGTTTGTGTATGTTACTCAACAGTTAACGTTGGCAAGTGTAAACAACAAGTGACAGAACTTTTGCTTCATATGATTACAATAAAGTTTTCAAAATGGGTATGGATTGACAAGTGACAGTTTACTAAATAGACACTGCGAATATTGTTTGCATGAAATTTTTATTTTTTGACTACATAATTATCCGAGTTACAATCATAACAATCAGGGGTGAGTTGTCCCTGCTGCCCTCTGTGCTGTTTACAGCCTTGTTAGATTTGTACTATGTTTGACTTTAAAATCTTATTTGCTATTATATTTATTATAATAAGTGATGAAAATGTGAATCAAGTTTTTTCGCAGATACATGTACGCGTCGCGTACCTATTTTTGTAACTAGTTACAACTACAAGTTACCTTCCTTGTAACGAAGTTACTCACAGCACTGCATCTAACCATAAGAATTCCCAATCCGAATTCTGGTATATGTTTGACGGATATCATAAACTCAAAATACGATTTGTAGTTTTGACATCAAATTTGACACCATTTTATTCAAAGTATTCCTAAATTAATACAACATGTGTTGAGTATTTCTGACGTAAATGTCTCTCTGCTGTTCAAGGTCGGCATCGTCCAATGAACCTTGGGTACATACACACATCCCTGATATGTTTTCTGTTCAATAACCAACACAGATATCTTGCTAAACCCAAGCCATAACCACCATGGGGACATGCTCCAAATTTACGCTGGAAATACAAATTAAATACATTATACTGACGGTGGACTCAATAAAGACTGGAACGATAACTCCGGCTATGGTTTTGACGCCAATGATGGCGAAAATTGAAGCCCTTCTAGTAGGTATGCCCTAGACCCATAGAAATAACAGATATCTGTTGTCCCTAGGCCTCTGCGCGGACATTTACTGCATTTTTGTGAATTCAGTATATCATCAGACTTGTTGCAAGGTTGTTCCAACAAGTCCGATACAGTCATGATATAACACTATTGTTACAACCTTGTGTCGTCAACCTTGTAACATTCTTGTTATATCATGACTGTATCAGACTTGTTAGAACAACCTTGTAACAAGTCTGCAAACAAGTTGTAACAAATCTGCTCTCAAGGTTGACAACACAAGGTTATAACAATATTGTTATATCATGACTGTATCGGACTTGTTGGAACAACCTTGCAACAAGTCTGATAATATGAACAAGGTTTTTACGAGTTGTTAACAATTACAACGTGTTCCAAACTTGTTGACAACTTGGGACAAGCAGCGCGAACACAACATGTTGGCAGACTTGCTACAAGATGTGAGATTTTTACTCGTGTAGATTACATTCAGACAGGATGTAAAGTATTTTAGCATGAGTACCTGATCAGTGTACCAGTAATAAGATGTAGGATCAATCCCTACACGTTTGTAACCTTCTAACAATTCATCCTGAAAATAATAGAATAATATCACCGTATGTCAACCATTATGGAACATGCTCTATACGATCTGGATGTCGGCGTCATCATACACACAATATCGCTCAATTAACCTATATGTCATTGAGGGCTTTTATATCTTATAGAAGAGCCCCGGTCAAACGAGGATGAGTCTTGACGAAGTTGAGAAGCGAAATGTCACACAAGAAAAAGACTTGGACGAGACTTGGCGAGACTGGATATTACCGGTCAAACGATCAAAAACTTTCATCTACTCTCATTAAAAATTTGTAGTTGACAATCGCATCAACTCTTGCCAACTCTCATCTTCGTTTGAACGGTGCTTACATTGTTCAACAATTTCTGATATACATGCAAATTTATGCACACCGTAACTCCTCAACTCTCATGCCCCGGTCATGCAAATCTGAACCTCTCCAATATTTGTTGCGGACTGGAATTGACGAGAAAACACAGCAAATGGTCTACTTACATATTGCCAAATTCTCATTGATCCACCGACAATTTCACCAACATTTGGCATTAACAAGTCAACCTGAAATAATGCCAAAGTTTATCCATTAGTTATAACAGAACACGACACCATGCAGCACTGTGTTCTTGAATTGGTAGAATTTGATGTAAATTTTCAGGTTTTTAATAACGTGAGGAAATTATTATTATGTATAAGTAATAGTTTACTTACGGACTCAGTGAGCCTTATATCTTCAGGGCAACGTAGCATATAAAATGACTTTATTTCCGCTGGAAAACGGCACAGGAATATCGGCTAAAAAATTAACTTTTGTTGAATTTCGAGTGATGAGAATCAAATGCGTTATCCAGGGTTCTTACAGGTCAGGAAGAGTTAAATTGAAGGGCTTTTCAGAGATATTTTCAAGGCCTGCATATATCATGAAATTTAAAGACTAAAGGCGGTCGGGATCTCCACCAGACGATATTTGAGACGAATTTTATGACGATCGTCATAAAAATTCGCGATGATTTAGAAAGAAGTGTAGGAGATGTACTAGCAGCAAGAAAAAAAGCGCGGGATAAACATGAATTATCACTACTTGAATTATTTACTTCTACGAAGAAGGTTGATGGTTGTATACTTTTATCGAAAAGGAATAAAAAGGAAGCGCAGCAGATTTTGGATTCGTAAACTCTACGAGGAAAGAAATCAGAAAGGTGAATACCAATTGCTCGTACGAGATTTACGACTGTATGACCATGAAATCTTTTTAGTTACTTCAGAATGCTCCGTAGCATTTTTGAATAGCTACTAAAACTTCATATCGAAATGTTTGGACAAAGGATCCTGTAATCGCATTGGTTAAAAATGTTGCGCGCTAGACGATCGCTCTTCGAACATTTTTCTTCAATTGGGCATGTGTCGTTGCGAACTGTTTTAAAGATCGTCTCAAAATCGTCTAGTGGAGATCCGCCTTAAAGTGCTGAAAAGAAGGCGTTAGAAATTAGTAAAAAGTGACGTTAATTAAACTGTTAGACGGAAACTTTAATATTTCAAACAGCTTTGGCCTTTATAAGACATGAACAAAATCAATTTACAAAATGTCCAATTCTTAATGCCAAACAATTTCAGAAAAGATCCACTAAAGCTAGACAATTTAAGGACTTCCATGCGCTTCTTTATAAACTCAAGAGCATTCAAGGCCTTGAATTTTTGTTTCCAAATTCAAGGACTTTCAAGGATTTCCAAGTTTTGTACGAACCCCGGTTATCTTGCAGTGGCCCAATGAATTATGAATCCGTTTTTGAAACTGCGGATTTATCATGGGAAATTTTTCATTTTGAATTATGTTATTGGGAAATTTGGAAATCGTGATAGACAAATCCGATGCGCTTTGGATAACTAGCTCCATACGATTTTTCGAGTTGTTACATAATAGGGCCATTTAAACGGGACAAAATAAGACGCGTCTTACATAAGACGCGACTTAAATAAGACGCGAGTTTGTCGTATAAAAGGTACAAAATTCTTCTGTAAGACGCGTCTTGGATAAGACGCGTCTTACATAAGAACAGGACTTTTAGCTGTTCTTATTTAAGTCGCGTCTTAAATAAGAATTTTGGACCAAAAATCTAACTACACATGCCCGAAACTTGAAACAACGTAACATTATTAGCCTTGCATATTAAAACAAAAACAACTGAAACAACATTATAGCTAGAATCATTTATGCGATAGCTCCGCTTATATAAGACGCGTCTTAAGGCTGATTTCCACTAGGCGGAATTTTGCGCGCGGAGCGACATTTTGCGCGCGGAAACTGAAAAGTTGAACTGCTTTCAACTTTGTGGCTGCGAAAAATGTCGCTCCGCGCGCAAAATTCCACCTACCCACCGGGCACACGACGTTGTTTTAACGTTGAAATTTGGTAGAAAAAAGGTTGTGACGTCGACAACCTAATATCTACGTTGCTCTGACGTTGTTTTACAAACATTGGTTCAACAGCAGCCAACAGACGTTGAATTAACGTTCATTCATGGTTAAATGTACGACGTCGATTTGTGAACCAATCTCAACGTTGTTTTAACGTAGATTCAACGTTGAATTATGGATGACGAGATTGGCAACCTAATTTCAACGTTGTTTCAACGTCGAAACAGTAACGTCGATCCAATTTGCATAGTCAACCCTTTTTCAACGTCTGTCCAACGTCTGGAAGGTCATTTCCAACGTTGATTCGACGTTGGATAAACGTCATTTTGCCCGCTGGGTAGTAGAAATCAGGCTTAATGTAAGTCGCGACTTACTTTGTCCCGTATAAATGGCCCTAATGTCATCACCTATATACATAAACTTGCTGCGAGAGCTCGACAACAGGACTCTGTATGGTTAGAGCGCTGCAACGGAATCGTAGAACCGCAGGTTCGAATCCTGCCAGAGGGCCTATAGTTGCATTTTTCACAACTGCTTCAGGTCAGGCCTAAATAAATGTATAAAATTTACACTCGAATTTTCCGTCTACAAATCTTCCGTCAAAATTTTCAAAATTTTTGAAAATTACAAAATTTTCCGTCTACAGATGACCAAAAATCCATTTTGGAAGGGAACTGCACTGCCTTAATTCACATGATTTTTGTAGTACTAAGTTTCAAATTTTGAATTTTCAGCTTGCCTTTATACATACTATGGAGATAGCGTCGCTCCATGCATGTCTTCCTAACTTCTGCAGCCACGAATTACGTAAATCTTCCTTTTTTTTCAAAGACAGTCATAGCAAATGAAACATGGTGAACTTTTAGGTCAAGGTGTAAAACCAATCAATTTCATGGTGGCAGGGGCGTAGGAACCGGGGGCCAGGGCGGCCAAGGAGCCCTTTGCCTTCGTGAAAAATGTTGTTCAGATTGCCCGTTTGCCTCAATGGCCTTTGATTTATGATTGCATTTATTTTTCCTTCCCTCCTTTCCTGTTTATAAGCAGTTAGCATCACCATACCTCGTTGATTTGATCAGTCATCTTCCTTTCAGGTGCTTCTGGGATATCCTGAAATAAACCATATTGACCAATCACAATGTGAGGTTGTACGAAGTCCGTAAAGTTGACCGTAAGGTTCGTGATATTGTTTGGCATGTAATAAGTAATAAAAATAATAATAATTTTAATATTTATATAGCGCAAAATACCATTGATATATATGATCTAAAGGTCCAGTTACACGTGCGATTTTCTTCTCGCGCCGGCAACGCAACGCCTTTGCAACGGGTTAAATTTCATTGCGTTACTCGCGCGAGTGAAGTGGTGACACGGGCAATGATAGCTTAGCCGCTTCGCAACTATTTGCATGAAAAAACCGGGCACAAAGGTCACTGACAACAACATGGCGTCGAAGAAAGAACTTGTGGTCATAGCTGCAATGCTTTTGCTGGAAGAAGATGACGAGGAGGTTAAAGAAAAGAAACATATTTGGAGCCGGCACTGACTTCTAGAGAGAAAAAACAAAGGTTATTTCGGTCAACTTCTTCCCGATCTGGCTGCCCACGACACACCAGGATTTGAAAAATTCTTGCGAATGGATTTTGATCATTTCAAAAAGATAGTTGATAATCTATCTGAAACGCTTTACAAGAAAGACATAATAATGCGTGAATCAATCAAGCCAGCAGAAATGTGTTGTTTAACGCTTCGATATTTGGAAGCGCTACAGCACGCTGTCCGTACAGAAGCGAATTTCATTGGCTATCTTAAAATAGCCCATGCGATTCCTGCTCAAACAATGCCTGGGTAATTCGATATTTTCGGCAATCGTTGCCGAAAGTTCAAGCATTTCAACTTTCCGCAACGATTGCCGAGAATATCGGGTTGCATAGAAAGGAATCGTGTTTTCCGAATAGGGAGATCGCGAGAAAATGTCATATAGGCCCTTCATCAGTAGCAAGAATATAGAGGGAAGACCAGCAACCAGCTGCGCTGAGATCTAAACAGTCCAAAGGCAACAAGGTCGCCCAAGAAAAGTTGACGAGCGATCGTAATTGTCACTATTTTGAAAGGATCAAAAGGTGTGGTTCTCAAAATTCTCTATGAGAAAATGAATGGCAATTTCTTTGCAGAGTTCATTGGAAAGCATTTTAATACTTGTTTTCCAAAGTGCGGACGTAAAAAAACGATCGTCGCCTGTTTCTCATAGATAATGACCAATCACAAGCGAGTGAAGCAGCGCGAAAAGCAATTGAAAAAATCAAGGCTGAATTTCACAAGATTCCGGCCAGATCGCCTGACCTGAACCCGACTGAAAATGTCTTTCACTTGGCAAAGAAAAGTCTCGAGAATGAAGCAATTGCCAGTAATATAACGTAAGAAACGTTCCAAGACTTTTCAGCGCGGGTTTTAAAATCCTTGGAAAATCTGTCAACCGATGTAATCGATCGTACTATTTCAAGCCTGTCAAGTAGAGTAGATGCTGTTCTTAAAGCAAGAGGAAATCGCATAAAATACTAGGAGTCCTATCTTTTACTGTTATATATAGTAATTCAAGGCAGAGTAAGGGCAGTATAGATCAAAATCGGTGTAGCCATTTTCGCCAATAGGCAATTAGCTTGCTGTCAACAAGTAGATTAAATGCTAAGTACAATTTACACGTCTTCACAGCGTGACTCCAATGGTGCAGCAACGCAAAATTAAAAACAGTGTTCCCTTGATATTTCCGAATTATTTGCCAAAGATTGCACAAAGTGGATTGCATTACTTGAATAAATGCATTTATTCATTATAAAATCTTATTTAGGTCATTATTGCGAAATTAAGAACAGTACTCCACAAACTTAGCTTAAATTCCTTGACTATCTCACTGAATTCTTTAGGAAAATGGGGAGCACTGTTCAAAATCATGCAAGATATAGTTATAATTTATTTATTTCGAAGTGAATAAGTTGACCATTAAATATCATTATCAAAGATCGTTATATTATTTGCAAATATTCAAATTTAACAGATTTACAATGAATTTTTGGATGGAGTAATGTATGGACCTATGACTTTATGTTATGCATATCTGGGCGTGCAACATTATAGGTTGTAAGTGCTTATTACGTCAATGACTAATGCGATTTAGTTATAACTTGTAATCTAAAACAAACTTAGCAAAGCAATGTCTACAAGGTATTCACTCGTCAAATGTAACTTGTGAAATATATACAAGACCACAAATTACGGCTTAAATACTTGTTTCCATCTGATTATATTTTTCAAAATGTGCACATGCCCATAATGTTGTTAGATTAAGTACGATTAAAGTGAAAATTCTAAAAATGGATATATGTATGAAATAGCGTACTTTAATATGTCATTATTATTATATTTTATTATTATTATATTATAAATGTTTATTATATATGTAGACGCACGTTATTAATACGCAAAACATTATTAAAGGTTCACTAACGATTCAAGGATTAAGGCCGATGTATTTTGATGAAATAAAAATAAAAATGTAAGATAATGCACATTCAGACTGTCCGAATATAACAATGAAACTAAAATTTATGTACATATATAATTCTGACTCAGAATGTACCGAAGCATTATTTACCTGTTTTACATGTGTATTGGGAGGCGTGTTCTAGATGATTTCGTTGGGAGTTATTGAAAACCTAGCGTGCGCGTCGTAATGTGTTGATAATTATGACGTCATATGGGGGGGGTACTATGATTCATGATATTCCCGTACACGTATATTAAGTGAGGCTGGCTAGAAAATAAAATTGAATTATATACATTTCGATAATTAGGTTCATTTAAGCATGATTTACACAAGAAAAATCACAGAAAAGACAAGGGCTTTGGTACTTTATTGTAGAAAGGAATCGGGTTTTCCGAATAGGGAGATCGCGAGAAAATGACATATAAGCCCTTCATCAGTAGCAAGAATATAGAGGGAAAACCAACAACTAGCTGCGCTGAGATCTAAACAGTCCAAAGGCAACAAGGTCGCCCAAGAAAAGTTGACGAGCGATCGTAATTGTCGCTATTTTGAAAGGATGGGAAAGGTGTGGTTCTCAAAGTTCCCTATGAGAAAATGAATGGCAATTTCTTTGCAGAGTTCATTGGAAAGCATTTTAATACTTGTTTTCCAAAGTGCGGACGTAAAAAAACGATCGTCGCCTGTTTCTCATGGATAATGACCAATCACAAACGAGTAAAGCAGCGCGAAAAGCAATTGAAAAAATCGAGGCTGAATTTCACAAAATTCCGGCCAGATCGCCTGACCTGAAGCCGATTGAAAATGTCTTTCACTTGGTAAAGAAAAGTCTCGAGAATGAAGCAATTGCTAATAATATAACGTAAGAAACGTTCCAAGACTTTTCAGCGCGGGTTTTAAAATCCTTGGAAAATCTGTCAACCGATGTAATCGATCATACTATTTCAAGCCTGTCAAGTAGAGTAGATGCTGTTCTTAAAGCAAGAGGAATTGGCATAAAATACTAGGAGTTCTATCTTTTACTGTTATATATAGTAATT